GCTGCTTGGCCTGCTGTGTTCATCCAGCTCCTACACCTTGTTATCTCAGATTCTCTAGCATCGGCAGTTCCTGCGATCTCTGTAATGTAGTTAACACTCACTTGTTTTGCTTCCTTCTGTTTTGTTGTAGCTGGTTTGCTGTCCATCCTGTCAGTATGAACAATACTAATCACCTGGTTAGCAGTGACAACATGGGCTATGCATCTTACCTGTTTGAACAGGAGAAGAACACAGGCTCTTTGACTGGGGAGGTGAGTACTACATACGTGTGTCAATGCTGTGTGGAGATATTTATTTTGGGAGCGTTATAATAGCTTTAGTATGACAGCTGAAGATACTGCTAGCAGTATCGGTGGAACTGTGACCCAGAAGGTTTGTGTTCTAAATCCCGCTCCAGAAACATGAGTACAGACTCTAGACTGTCACTCAAGTGCAGGACTGAGAGGTGGCAGCACTTGTGTCCATAAGGTCCCTCACCAACTTTTACGGATGTACCATCGAAACCATGCTGTCCGGGTGTGTAACAGCCTGGTGTAGCAACTGCTTTGCCCAGGACTGTAAGAAACTAGAGAAGATGATGTGCACAGCCCAGACCATCCCAGAAGCCAACCTTCCATCCAGGGACTCCATTTACACGGCTCGCTGCCGCGGAAAGGCGGCCAACATCATCAAAGACCCAACGCACCCCAGTAATGACCTCCTACAACCTCTTCCATTAGGCAGAAGATACAGAAGCCTGAACACACGCTCAAGCAGGTTCAGGAACAGTTTCTTTCTGGCCCTTATCAGACTATTGAATGGGCTCTAGCCTCAAATAATGTAACCTGTATGCCGCTAAGTCTTTTTGATCTGCCTGTACTGCTTGTAAACAAAGCTTTTCACTGTATTTCGGTACACATGACAATAAATCAATCAATTAATCAATGTTGGAGATGCCATCTTTCAGGCGAGATGTTAAACTGTGGCCTGGGTGGCTCTAAAAGATCCCATGACACTGTTTCATAAAGAGCAGAGGAAGGCTGTCTGGTATCCTTCAGCTTATAGCACAATAAACAAATGACCTTGTCATGATCACCTTGCACTTCCTGGGGCTTTGCTGTGCAAAACAGGCTGCAGTGTTTGTATGGTATACATTCCTGACCTGACTGCAAGTGTATCCATGACATTCTGATATGAAAGTACTCACCTTGGGCTCTTGGGTTCTCAGGCTCACAGTACATTATAGAGTCATACAGCATGGAAACAGGCCCATCGGTCTAACTAGTCCATGCTGACCATGTTCCCAAACTGGTCCCACTTGCCTGTGTTTGGCCCATATCCCTCCAAACATTTCCTATTCATGCACTTATCCAGATGTCTTTTAAATGTACCTGCATCCACCACTTTCTCTGATGGTTCATTCCACATGCAAACTACTATCTGTTTTAAAAAAAAAACCCGTCATGTCCTTAACCTCTTACTTTAAAAATATGCCCCTTAAATTTTGAACTCCTCCAGTCCAGGGAAAAAGACTCTTGCTATTCATCTTAATTATGCCCTCACATATGCCCTTAATTATGTGTTCTGTGTTCAGTCAGTCAGGTATATGTCTGCAATGTACAGTAACAGCAGAAGCATAGAACCCCCAAATAATGTGTATTTTTGTCATTTTATCACGATATAAGTAGTTAGTGTTGTTAATAAACTTCAAGAACTCTGTACTTATCCTATACATTACACAGGTTAACATATAGAACAGCACTCAGCCATAATATACAGACAGCAGTCAGTGTTTATTTCATTTACTACACGATTTGAGTAATCTCAGCCAATAATGCCCAATACTAGGGGGCATGCATTTAAAGTAAGAAGGGGAAGATCGAAGGAGATGTGAGGGACAAGTTTTTTACACCGAGAACGCGCTGCTAGGGTTAGTGGTGGAGGCAGATACAATAGGGGCGATTAAGGGGCTTTTAGATAGGCACATGAATAAACGAGGAATGGAGGGATGTTTAATTTAGATTAGAAGGGATTAGTTTAGTTTAGCGTCATGTTTGGCACAACATCATGGGCTGAAGGGCCAGTTCCTGTGCTGTACTGTTCTTTGTTCTATAAGGTACGTACGGTGCTGTTAGCATCTTTGCTCGTGTGTACGGGAGGGAAACATTCATCCTTGGCTTTAAATATAGTATGCTCCTTGTAAAATGGAAGGTGTAAATTACAGCAAGGATCAAGTTTGGGTGTGCCGTTCCCCAAACTCCACGGAGCTGAAAAGCCTGACAATCCTCCCAGTCTGGGATCCAAAATAGAGAATGAGCATGTGTGCTGAGGATTGATAGTGATCCCCTAACTGGATCCTGAGTATCTCTTAGTGCCTTTACGAAAGGAATTGGAAGAGTCAGAATAAAACAGTCTATAAATAAAACAGAATAAAATCCTTTTATGAATGGTCATGTTATTAATAAATGTACACTGTATTGTCCCTTAACCTATATCAGAATTGCAGACTCATTAATGCACCAAGAAAGTTCTGCTAATTACTATTACACTAGTGTAAAAATTCCGTTAATCTTAACTCTCTCCAAAATCTGAAAATAACTATTAGCTCTTGCAAATCACCAGCCTATGGTGTTTAGCTGTGATAATTTGATGTAGCTCAAAAACACTGCTAATTCCATTTAATAAGCTGTAAGGCTATGAGATCAATGTTGCACCATGACTCAAAGATTCCAACATTTTACTGCTCGATGTTAACTTGTTAAATAACCTTTCTAAAAATAGTTTACCTCAAGTTACGTGACCTGCCTCCAAACCATTTAAGAAATAATGTTGCCGTGGTCAGGAAGATTAAAGCCTGATGCCTCCTTTCAGATCGTGTTTTTAGGGAGGACTGAGGATTCTTTATCGTTGAGAATTTGAGCTATTACTTAGCTGAGGCCTCGGGTTCTTTCTAAAATGTACCAATGCATAAGGTTACTGCAGGTGGATTATAATTGTGATATGGCAGAAGCTCATTTTTCAGTAAGAGAAAATTGCAGATGAGTGCCCTCTACCCTTTGGAAATGCTTAAATAGAATTGCCAATGACAAGAAAATATGAATGCAATTTGCAAGAAAGGTGACCAATTTGCTCAAAGCCCCACTTCACAATTAAGTGGAACTGTAGGGAAATGCAATTTACAGTTTGTGTTATTGAGCCTTTGAAGCCTCCCTGCCTAGACTGTAATAGAGGCTTCAGTGTTCTCGAAGTTAATTTTACTTCTGTGATCTTCAGCCTTAATATGATTTGCAAATTTAATTACTCCTTCCTATCAACTATAAATTATTAATAGACACAATATAAATTATGTACATGGTATTAATATAAGTTGCTGAATAATTCAGCTGTTTAAATGTTAGTTATATCCACTGTTATTCACAGTTCCCACTTCCTGCCATTCTACCCCGCTTGCAGAACATAACAATGTAATGTGCTCAATGGTTGTATTGTCATTCTGCCTTGATTTTTACCCTTACAGGGACCATTTGTGGCAGCGTTTGCTTCCTCCAATTTGGGAGATGTCTCTTCGAACACAATGGGCCCTCACTGCGTGAACACGGGCGAAACATGCAACAATCCTGACAGCACCTGTCCTGTTGGAGGAGTAAGTCCAGTGTTTGATATTTCTGAGCGCTTTTAATGGCTGGTCAATGACAGCATCAATCTCACTTTGTGGGCCTTTGCCAAGAAAGCCTACCTCATGCCTCACATGCTGTTATATCAATTGTCTTTTAGCCTGAACAGCTTAACACAATACTGCCAAATAAAAATAACAAATTTCCACCCATTTAGAAGAGAGATGAGGTAATTGCTTTTCTCGCAGATGTTTGACAATCCTCGGAACTCTCTCCCTGAAAAGAGTCTTTGAATATTTTTAAGACAGAGCTGCATAGATGTTGGGTGAGCAAGGATGTGAAATGTTATTGGGGTAGGTATGAATCTGGCTTTATGGTTACAATCAGATTGACTATGTGATGGAGCAGCCTGATGGGTTGATGACTTACTGCTGTGTCTTGTATATGCATGTTATTATGCTTAAAAATCAGGAGTTATTTGTACAGTTGGTAGATCCTTAAGTTTTCTTTGGAGCTTACTGGCATTTGGAAAATTTAACTGCTGAACATCATTTTTTAAAAAAAAATATTGATTTCTATGTCCATGATGGAAATTGCTTCTCAGTTGTTCATGACTTTAAATGTGTGAGTTGGTGAGTTCTAGCTGGCTCCAGTGAGCACACACTCTAAAGTTATTCAAGTCTGTGCACTGACTAGTTTTATAAATTCATGATTCATGGTTATTTCATGCATCTTTCCTCTTCCCTCCTTTAATTTTACAGCCTTCAATGTGTATGTCTGCGGGTCCTGGGAAGGACATGTTTGAAAGCACTGCAATCATTGGACAGCACATCTACAATAAAGCAAAGGTGAGTGGAACTCAGTGAGATTATGAACCAGCAGCTCAGCGTGATAAGAAATAAATACTAAAACATTGTTTGTCAAAGATAACTCGGCAGAGGAGCTGTCCAATCATCATTTTGGAGAAAGTGGCGAGTGAGATAGGTACAGTGTTAGTTTAATTTTCCAAAATTCCTTAAATTCAGGAAATAAATTAGCAAATATCATCTGTAACTCCTTTATTTGAAAAGGGAGGGAAACAGAATGCAGGAAACTGTAAACCATTGGCTCTACTTTGTCATAGGAAAGATGTCATGTGCTATTATTAAAGACATTATCAGTGGGCTTTTTGAAAAATTCAAGGTATTTAGGCAGAGTGAACATGGCTCGATGAAAGGGAAATCATTTTGAAACAATGTATTGAAGTTCTTTGAAGAAGCAGCATGTGCTGTGGAATTGGTGGATTAACTGTACTTAGATTTCCAGAAGGCTTTTGATAAGGTACCACATCAATGGTTATTGTGGAAAATTCACGTTCATGTTCTAGCGGATAACATATTGGCATGAGAAGGCAGTTTGGCTTGCTAACTGGAGTGTAAGCAAAAATGTGTATTCTTCTTGTTAGCACAATGTAACAAGTGATATGTCACTGGGATCAGTGCTGGGTTCTCAACATTTTATTATATTATGTATGACCCGTATAATTAGCATTGATAGGATTCCTATGGTTTAATTTAATCCTGCTGATGCTTGAGCAAATATTTTTCTAATGTTGAAAGGAAAGACTGAAGACAGAAGGCCTTAAGGAGTCTCACTGATTCCACAGTCATGGAATGGAATTGAATTGATGCTCCACACTTCCTTTGTGTTAAGTCACTCCTCTCTGTCTGTTCAGCTTCAATGGTCAATAACCCGACTGATTGGAGGAGACTTGCAATTGTGATTACAACAACTCGAACAAAAATTCTCAGAATAAGATGGCAACAAAGACAAGTTCATGCTGACAAGGACGGTATCGCAACTGTGTCAGAATTCCTGTACATTTGGACACCACAAGCATTTTGTTTTATATTCTCCATTGAGTGTGTTGGGTGATAAATTCCACACCATAACAATGATGTGAAGATTTTCGTGCATAGTTGAAAAATTATACAGGAATTAAAAAGATACATGTAACCCATGGAGATGGAGGCTTTGTGAATTCAAGTGGAGAATTGCTGTTCACCTGTTTTACGATTCCTTATCTGATGTGAATTTTATTCCCAGGAATTGTCCAGAACAGCCACGAGAGAAATAAAAGGTCCTGTCAACTTTGCTCATCAATGGGTTAACATGACTAGTGTCACAGTGGAATTCAATTCAACACATTCAGTGAGTACCTGCCTTGTTTCTCTCTCTTTTTTGTAAGACAACGTTAACTTGATTAGACTCAGGGGCCACGTTTGTTGTCATTAAGTTCAACAAAGCGTTACAATATGTTCCTTCGGGAGCTCTGTCAGGGGAAGCTTAATGGGTAGCAGGAGGATGAAATGGGAAAGTCATTCTACCAAAAATACCACACAAAAGCTGTAGTTTCTGGGATATTTTTGTTGAACTACAACTTCACACTAACTCATTCTGACTCAGAAAAATAACTTGGATACTATCCTTGCCCAGTGATATCAGATTGAAAGCAAAGTTCAGAGAGTAGCATTAAAACTGCTGTCTGACGTGCATCAGGCAGAGCGAGGGGCACCATTTCTCAGCCCTTTTCCTTACGGGTTTTCAGAGGGAAGAAGGTCAAAAGGAAAGAAAAGAACCACCTGAGTTTCTTATAAGCCCCATTGGTGGGTCACCTTTGGCAGTGCAAAGGTTTCTGCCTTTACCTGTAGCCACACTGCCACACTGCCCAATATTCCAATCCAGCTTCTTGAGTCTGTGTTATTTTACAAAATGAATATAGGCACTAGAGCTAGCTAATTTTTCTTCATATTATACTAATTTTTGGGGGTTCAGGATCACAGTCACCTAATATAGGCATCCAACCAGCAGTAAGGAATTTTCAGACAGTCTATTAAATGTGCTAAGCAGCAGTTTAGATATAATCCATTAGTCAATTAGACAAAAATATATACAAGCAATAATAATTGAGGGTGGTTCATTGATAGGAGAGGATGAGTAGGCAGGTGACAGAGTGAGTCAATCTCATTACAGTTGTGAAGGCTGCGTACTGCTGTCTGACACGATTGTTCAGGAACTCTTCCCTGGGTTGCCTTCCTCCTCTTCTAGTCCGTCTTTCATCCAAAGAAGACCATTGTCTGGTGGCAGTGCTGGGTGACTGGGAGTGCCCGCTGATGCTGATCCCTTGTTGATCTTTTTGGGATTGGCAATCTACACTGTGTCAAATTGTCTGAATCCTTGTAGCCAATGGCAACAGATAACTTCCAATGATATCAGAATGACCACTGACCCACTTTCATCGTAAAGCCAGTTTTCATGTTTCCTAAGAAAAAGCAATTCTGTTTCTCTGAAACAAGTTGCGACACAAGGTGTCAGTGAGCAGCTAGCCTTCGTAGCCATCATCTTTAACTTACTTTCTGTTGTTGATGAAAATGTATGTGTTTGGTAACTGTTGTAAGCAGCCATTACATGAGGCTTCATGCTAGATGGGAAATATAAAAAAAATTTGATTTTAAGATCTCCAGTAACTATGTTTTGCATCTCGCATGTGGAGAGCTATGAAAGAGGAAAATCTGTGTCATTCCATGCTGCTATATGGTGCTTTAGAGAGTGCATAGTGTAACATGGAATCCACAGCACGGAAACAGGACATTAGGTCAAATTGGCTGTTGTTGGTATGTCTGCTCTGAACAAGTTCCCTACCCGACTCATTACCTCTTCTTCCCATGTGCCCATACTTTCTTGAAAAATTGGAAGTTTTTAAGTTTCACTATTTTGTCAAGAGAGCTTAAATTTTAAATACCTCCCCTGGTGCTCCCATTCCTCAGTGTTCTTGATAATCAGTGTTGTTTTGATGCAAAAGACAGGGAATGAGACATACTTGTTCTCTTATATCATGCCTGATGTCACTGTCTGTGGAAAATATTTTCGCATGTGATTTTGAGCACTGTTGAGCCAACAGAGGACACCTCTTTGCCCAGGCCAACTTTTGAGGTTTGGCCTTGTTGTTTCTTCAAATCTTTTGCTCTACCAAAACAGAAAATGGCAGGCTGAGAAACATTGTTTTCTTTAGCACTGCTTTTTCAATTTTAACTGATCTCCATTCAAAAGTCTAGCTCTTTTTTTCAATCTTTGCCCATTAGATTTCTAGTAATCATTGCAAAGATGACTTTTAGGTTTCGAGATGGGTCCATATCTAAATCATGCATCCATTTTCTACTCCGTTCTAAATTTGGTGAACTTGAAAAGGTTGGACCACTGGCTACAAATGATATAGATCTTTTTCTGTCTATTTATAAAGATTTAATGCAAGTGTTTGATGCAGTATACCAAAGGAGAAGACCCTAATATCATCACTAAAAGAGATGGATTCAGGTTGGATATAGAAATGTGTTAGTTCACAGAAGAAGGGTATTTCTGGAAACATCTGACATAAGGGCAAATAACTTAAATGTCTTTCAGGTCAAATGATTGTTTAGAGTTTGGGAAATTTTTGGATGATCCATGTTCTTTGGAATCCTAGGCTGTACACCATCAGAGAGTTATAGAGCTGTACGGAATCAAAACAGACCCTCTGGTCCAACTCATCCATGCTGACCAGATATCCTTAAAATAACCTAGTCCCATTTGCTAGCATTTGGCCCATATCCCTCTAAATGCTTCCTATTCATATACCCACCCAGATGCCTTTTAAATGTTGTAATTGTACCAACCGCCACCACTGCCTCTCATTCTATACACGCACCACCCTCTGCGTGAAAAAGTTGTCCCTTATGTCCCTTTTAAATCTTTCCTCTTTTACCTTAAACCTATGCCCTCTAGTTTTGGACTCCCCTACCCTGGAGAAAAGACCTTGGCTATTCAGGTGGAGGGATTTGTTTGGCTTTTCATTCTATTAAATTCTCCAGTACTTTTCCTTATTGATATTAATTACTTTTTAGGATCTTCACTCTCCTCTGACCTTAGGCTGCCCATTATTCCTCGCATACTTTTATGAAGATAGATAGAAAACGTTTAAAATCTCTGTCGTGATTTCCAGCTCTTTCTGAAACTTATTATCTGCCCGTCTCTCTCTCTCTGTCCTCATGGGTAAAGGACCTAAATATGGTAACACCCAGTTTTAAGGAATGCACAATACAAAGTTGTAATTTGTGACATAAATGAAAACACCTTAATACAATGGGACTTTCTTTATAACATTTGGGCAGTAAGTATTGAGTCTGTGTGTGGAAGCTGCAATAGTCTGTACAGCCACCTGAGGACTCACCCTGAGAGTGGAAGAGAGTCATCCTTGTCTGTGAGGGACCGCCAATGATGATGATGATATAACCCATATTAATGGAGCTTTCCTCTTCCAGGGTCACACGTGTAAACCTGCCCTTGGGTACAGCTTTGCTGCTGGCACAACTGATGGCGTCGGAGCCTTTAACTTTACACAGGGTAAGTCGGGAGCTTGCTGCTTAGAAAGACATGTTTTTGAGGCAAAAAATAAAGAGAATAAAAATTAAGCTGTTTTGCTCAATATATGAGACAATCTCTCCGTCAGGGAGTAGGATTTGATTTGTGTTCTGGTGATGTGTCCATAGGAACCATCGAAGGAGATCCATTTTGGGATGCTATCCGTGACATGCTCCTGGGAGAACCATCCAATGAGACGCAGGATTGCCACCATCCCAAACCAATCCTTTTCAGTACAGGAGAAGTATGTTTGTTCTTTACTTATTGAATGTTACCGAATAACTCGAGATTCTCAACTTCTGCTATGTTGTGAGATATTGCATTATGAGTGTTTGATGACGTTTTAAAAAAAAAAAAAAATTCTGTTGGACAATACATTCAAGCATCAATAACTGTTAACCAAATGAGGAATACACAATTATCCAGAGGGCTATCTTTTTAAAATGTGCTCCCACCTTTCAGAAAAAAAAGTGAAGGAATGTCAAAGAAAAGACCTTTAAAAGGTCTAATTAATTTCAGTTTATGCAGTTCCTTTCAAGGTTACACTGTGTGTAGCATTTGCACTTGTTTTTCAGAAACAAACTTAGACCTTGACAACCCAATCACGACTGGCAGGAAAATGGTGGAGTGCGTTTCCAAATTTATACTTCTGATGTTCACCCCAGTCCAGGCTCCACCAGACAATGTAGCCGGACTAATAAGCAGGAGTAATCAGCGAGACTATTGACATTGATTCCCTTCATTTTAGTGACCTTCTGGAGTCCAGTTCTGAGGGAGCAAGAAGTGGAGAATCAGCCCAGTGTGCTTAGGATCTCTAACATGTCCTTCTCTCAGTCTATCATTAAGCATGTTGGGGTTTTCCTTACAAGATACAATGCTTCATCATAACCAGTGGAAAGATTAATGTCGAAGGGCCTGTACATAGTTGGAATCTGGGTTGCATCCTCGTCATCCTGATGGATTCCTGGCTCATTTTTGTTGCAGGGATGAATTTATTGGTTCCACATTGAATACATTAATTTACATACAAGAAAAATCTCATAATTTCTGATTTTAAGTCCATTGACGTATGATTAAAAGAAGTAGTTCTAGAGGGTGACTCTTACAGCAAGTCCTCGCCTTTACCCTGCGAATTGATTTTCCACAAGACTGGGCTTATTGAGAAAAATGGTTTGATTTGATGACCTTGTATTAAAGAGACAGATTGGGGACATAAAATTTTCTCCTCCATTAAGCCCTCTGTAATCAGACCTCATTCTTGTAAGATGCTGCTTTCTGTGGCTCCCTTCATACAGATCTTTAGAAAATTCCTTCATCCTGATGAAGTATGAGTGCTTGTAGCATAATATTTGCTCTTTGGTGATGAATACATCTTATCGGGTTATATCTATTTGCAGTGAATTCATCTCATTTCTCTTTGATGAGCATGACAGTTTCTTCCATTCAAATTCAAAATTTATCACAGCGGGTTTATATTTAACCACATGCTGCATCGTCACCTTCCAGATGACAAAACCTCTACCTTGGCATCCGGAAATTGTGGATGTGCAAATTCTTACCCTTGGGACATTGGCGATCGCAGCTATTCCTGGAGAGTTTACGTGAGTCTCTGCTAAAGTTTTATAGAAGCACGTTAGAAAGCAATAGATCGACACCAATGGTTTCAGTTCCAGTGGGATTCCTTCCTGCAGCCACAGAGTGGTTAAGTCCATTGTAAAACCTTATATCTGCTGTACAACGGCAGGTTAGGAAGAGGATGGTCCATTTTGCCCCTCAAGCCTGACCTACCATTCACTGAGATCATGACCAAACTCCTTAATTTCTTGTTGACAAAAATCATTTAGTCTTGGTTTTAGAATGAGCAATTGCTCTAGCATTAATTACCACTTGCTAAGAGAGATCCAAACTTCTAATAGATCTTGCATCTAAAATATTTCCTAATTTCACCCCTGAAAAGTCTTCCTCTAATGTTTAGACCTATCTTTCTCGGCCACGCCCCCAAACTGTGTCAAGTTGTTCTTCATCTACCCTATCTGTTCCCCCTAATATCTAAAAAAAAATGATCAGGTCACCCTGTTACTGTTTAAGTTAAAGCAATGTTGTTGGAGGAACCTTGTGGCTGAGATTTTCAGTTGTGTTGTCTGTCTGTGAGGGTGGGTTCGATTCCACCATCGGGTGACTGTCTGTATGGAGTTTGCGTGTTCTCCCTGTGTCTGTATGGATTTCCTCCAGGTGCTCTGGTTTCCTCCCACAGTCCAAAGATGTGCAGGTTAAGTGAATTGACCATGCAAAATTGCCCATAGTGTCCAGGGATATGCAAGCTAGTTGGGTTACCCTGTGGGATATGCAAGGTTACAGGAATAGGGTGGGGGGAGGGGGCTGGGTGGTGCTGTGGGGTGGGGAAGGTGCTTGGGTCTGGGTGGGATGCTCTTCAGAGGAACAGAGTCGAATTGATGGGCCGAATGGCCTGCTTCCACACTGTAGGGATTCTATGATTTTATGATTCTACGACGATCTTGAAACTTATTGAATCGAGCTCCAATCAGCTTGTTGGGAGCTGACTACTGAATTACTTGGTCAATCAAAAGCCATGATGAAGTCCTGCCGATCCATGCCATCCAATCAGATGCCATGTCTTCTAGGTCCTAAAGACTATCAGTTGAGGTCTAGTTTCCAGGAGACCCAACAATACAAAAGTTGGTGCTTTCCTTTTGCTTGTTGTGAGGCTGGGGTCATGGGGAGGGGAGTTGGTGGAAAGGGTCAGGGGATGGCTTTGAGTGGCCCTCTGTTCCTCCAATTGCCCCTATATTGAGACAAATGGAGTCCTACACCTGACAAACTGACCTACACCTGTCAAACTGCTCGCCCTTGTTTCTGGTAATCAGGATGCTGGTGAGTTGAGATCCTTAAATGGCTATTAATTGGTCACTTAAGGACCTTTATTGCTCACAAGTTGAGAAAGGCCCCATTAGACTTTCTTCACAACACCCAATGACTGAAGTGGCAGGAAGGGCTGGGGATAGTTTGGGGGCTTATGCTGAGTATCTCTCCAGTGCCAAAGTAATCAATTATTTCTCCTTTTTTCTACTTTCCTTTTTTTGTGACCAAGCCCTGGGTGATATTCACAACTTAGTACAGTTCCAGGTGGGATACCCTAAATTGTTATCCTCCAGTGAGGATGGCTGAACTGGCTCCCTTTCTTGATTCACCTCCACATGGTTACTTTAAAAACGACTACATTCTTTTGTAGATGCCTTTCTCCCAAACCAAATGAATTTATGTTATATAAACAGCCAATTTAACCAGGCTTTCCTATGTTAATGAAAAAGTGAGTTGGTTAGTTACGAAACGTGAGAAGAAATAATAATGCAATGAACAATTATCACAGATTAGAAGTAAGAGGTGGAAAGTTAGGAAAAACTAGAAGGATATGTGGATCAGTTTCTGAGTTTCATGGAGAGTGGGAGTTGGAAAGTTGTGGACAATGGATGATATCAGCAGCGCCAATGCTGGGAGGTGAGCAGTTGATTTTGAGGTGCTTTGCTTTGCAGGTAAGAATCATGGAATCCCTACAGTGTCAAAGCAAGCCATTCGGCCCATCGAGTCCACACCAACCCTCCAAAAAGCATCACATCCAGACCCACCTTTCTGCCTTATCCCTGTCATCCCACATTTCCCATGGCTAACCCACCTAACCTGCACATCCCTCGACACTGAGCAATTTAGCATGGCCAATCCATGTAACCTACACATCTCCTCCCACAGTCCAAAGACTGGAGCACCCAGAAGAAACCCACACAGACCTGGGGAAAGATGAGCAAACTCCACACAGACAGTTGCCTGAGGGTGGAATTGAACCCAGGTCACTGGCGCTGTGAGGCAGCAGTGTTAACCACTGAGCCATCGAGCCACCCCAAGCTGAAAGGCCTTTGTTCCATTTGCTTTTGACAGCAGCTTAAATTGTTTTCTGATTTCATTGAAGAGAGAGATATTTCTCTTTTAACCTGCAGCAGAAGGAAGACTTTGCATCTATGACCTTCACAACAATCATTGCGACCACTACACACACAGACCAGGGTTGAAAATAACAGTTGACTCTGTTCTGGTGTATTGTAGAAAGGAGAAGACACAAGCATGTTTCTGCATAAGACTGCTGTCTTTACGGTCATGTTCTGAGATAACTCACAGGAGATTATGATCCAGTTTGCAGTGCACTTCCCCTTTTTGCAGTTTTTCTCTTTAAAACTTCCTTGATACTTGTAACATTTAACTTTCTAGGATCTTCCCCAACACTGAGGATAATCCACACAGACCTTTCATACAGTCAATGTATTACATTGCTAAGCATATGTCACTGTATCCTCTTTCGAAAAAAACAAAGTTGCACTAAAAGTTCAATATGTCCATAATTAATCCAAGATTATGACCTGTCCGCAAGATACTCACCACTTCCAGAGAAGGAAAAATTGTGCCCTTATCATCATTTTGGTTACTTTATAAAAGGAATAATCATTTGCCCAGTACATTACACTATGTTTGCCTGATATACCGGTTATCTATGTTTGTTTTCATGCTGTCCATTTTAATGACATTCAATGCCATTTACCCACCAATGATTAATTTAAATGCTGTCAGGTAGTCCATTTATTGTCAAATGAAATAACTAGTTTGGATTGATGGATTGCTCACTAGTTAACTATCCTTGTATGTAGAAGCTGTTTAAGTCTCCCAATTTCCCTCCTGATTTCTTTTCCTTAGCACAATGTCAGGAAGAAGACTGCGAGAAGCCGTGAAGCATGTAAGTTATTAATCTATGTCATGTTACACCAAGTACCTTAGATGTATTCAAAGGTGGCTAAGCTGAGAACTACATCAAAAATATCTCAGCTGATTCCCCTGATGATCTGGTGGATAAAGGCACAACTGAATGCAGCATTACGCCTGACGGGTCAGAAGGCCCTGGGTATAATTTATGCTCTGTGCTTTATCAACTGATCTCAGCCAGGGGAACAGCTAAGGCATTTTGTGTTCCTATTCCACACTGGTGGTTAACCAAACAATTGACCTTAGTTTTGTTCTAATTGCTATCCAGAGATACTTGCCAGAAAAAGTCCACTGTGAATGTGGACTAGGAACTGGATTAGAGGTGGATTACTTGCGATAGCCTCTGGGGATGAATAGTTCACTGATTCTCACCCTCTAGACTTAAAAACAAAGGCATTTGAGACTGATCAATGCCTGTGGGACTGTTCCACAGCTAATGTAAAACAAGTCAGAGATAGTAGGAACTGCCGATGCAGAAGAATCTGAGATAACAAGGTGTACAGCTGGATGAACACAGCAGGCCAAGCAACATCAGTGGAGCAGGAAAGCTAACGTTTCGAGTCTGGACCCTTCTTCAGAAAAATGTAAAACAAGTGCTTTCACAATTCATTTGTACTTTTAATGAAGTGCATCAAATCAAATTGAGATTTCCATCAAATCTTTGCAGGTTGCACACTATCCTTACACATAATTTGTTTCATTTATATTATCTATGTTTCCTCCCTCAACAAACTTTGTCCCTTGTCCTTGGCTAAGATCGACAAGCAGACTCTCTCTGACCTTCCCACTCATCAAAGCCTCTGCACAATGCCTGAACCTACTTTGTAAAGTGATTGTAGACTATAGAGCACAGCTCACTGCAACTCAAATACGCTGTGTAGCAACACCACATCTTAAAGCTCAGCTTATTTTCATTGCTAATGTTAATAGCCCCATTAAACTGTTAAGTGCTGCAATCACTATAAAACAATTGAAATGTTAACTTGGCGAAATGTCAATTGATATGTAAAAGAAACATTTTGACTTTTGGAGCACCTGTCATGATCTCTGGTAGTCCAAAATCAATTTACAGCCAATGAAATACTTATAAAATGTAACCATTTTACATACAGCCAGCTCCCATAAACTGTAAACACCGAATAGTTACATATTTACAATAATGTTTAGTCGAAAAATAAGTCTTGGTCAGGACACTTGGAAGACCTCGCAGATGTTCTTTGCAGAGTACCCATGAGGATTTTTACATCTCTTTGTGTAGGTAGACAGGCTCTCAGTAGAGATAGTTCCCACAAGGAACTCGAACAGTTCATCCACTTCACCAACACCTTCCACCCCAACCTTAAGTTCACCTGGACCATCTCTAATACCTCTCTCTCCTTCCTGGACCTCTCTGTCTCCATCTCGGGCAACCGCCTAGAAACCGATATCCATTTCAAGCCCACTGACTCCCACAGCTACCTAGAATACACCTCCTCCCACCCACCTTCCTGCAAAAATGCTATCCCCTATTCCCAATTCCTTCGCCTCCACTGCATCTGCTCCCAGGATGAGGCATTCCACTCCCGTACATCAGTTGTCCTCGTTTTTCAAGGACCGTAACTTCCCCTCCTCAGTGGTCGAGAACGCCCTCAACCGTGTCTCCCACATTTCCCGCAACTCATCCCTCACACCCCGTCCCCACAATCAGAACCAAAAAAGAATCCCCCTCGTCCTCACGTACCACCCCACCAACCTCCGGATCCAACGCATCATCCTCCGACACTTCCGCCATCTGCAATCCGACCCCACCACCAAAGACATTTTTCTCTCCCCACCCTTATCTGCTTTCCGGAGGGACCACTCTCTCCGTGATTCCCTTGTCCGCTCCACACTCCCCTCCAGCCCCACCACACCGGGCACTTTTCCCTGCAACCACAGGAAGTGCTGCACCTGCCCTCCCTCATCCCCATCCCAGGCCCCAAGAAGACTTTCCACATCAAGCAGATGTTCACTAATGTGGTATACTGCATCCGCTGTACCCGTTGTGACCTCCTCTACGTCGGGGAAACCAAGCGGAGGCTTGGGGACCGCTTTGCAGAACACCTACGCTCGGTTCGCACTAAACAACTGCACCTCCCAGTCGCGAACCATTTCAACTCCCCCTCCCATTCCTCAGATGACATGTCCATCCTGGGCCTCCTGCAGTGCCACAACGATGCCACCCGAAGGTTGCAGGAACAGCAACTCATATTCCGCTTGGGAACCCTGCAGCCCAATGGTATCAATGTGGATTTCACAAGCTTCAAAATCTCCCCTCCCCCTACCGCATCCCAAAACCAGCCCAGCTCTTCCCCTCCTCCCTAACCTGTTCTTCCTCCCACCTATCCCCTCCTCCCACCTCAAGCCCCACCCCCATCTCCTACCTACTAACCTCATCCCGCCCCCTTGACCTGTCCGTCCTCCCTGGACTGACCTATCCCCTCCCTGACTCCCCACCAACACTCACCTTTACTGGCTCCATCCCCGCCTCTTTGACCTTTCCCTTTCCTCTCCACCTATCTTCTCTTCTATCAATCTTCTATCCCCCTTCCCCTCCCCCATTTCTGATGAAAGGTCTAGGCCCGAAAAGTCAGCCTTTCTGCTCATATGATGCTGCTTGGCCTGCTGTGTTCATCCAGCTCTAAACCTTGTTGGCTGTCCGTAGAATTGAGTTTAATTCTCATTCAAATGATGACAATGCCTTGGTGCTGAATTGGAGTGTCAGTGTAGCTTTTATGCTCAAGGCACTGGAGAGAGACCCTAACCTTTAGGCAAAGGAGCGAAGGTGCTGTCCTTTGGTCACAGCTAACCTCTAAGGAGCCCGTTAATGTGGCTTTAACTTGTCATGATCTGTAAGTGAGCAAGATCATGTAATGTTACATTGCTTTCTATGGTGTTAGAATCATTAACATATTATGCAACTAGAATTAATCCCTTATACTTCATCTTCTCCAAGTCTCTAATTCTAATTCATTATTGCACATTGTCTCCTACAGTCTCTGATTCAAATTCACTGCAGTACTGTTTAGGGACGTGTGAAGGGGGGACAGTTTGACCTTTCTGTCTAAAATAGTACATACTAGTGAACAATTTCAGTTTGTTCTTTTTTAGTGCCAGGTACCCCAATTTGCTATTGAGGGACTTAACTCGCAGCTGCTAAACTCTCATACTGTGCCATTACTACTGGTTTCAATATTATTGCACTGTAAGTCTTTTTAAAGCATGGACATTCATATATTGCCGCCTTTTAGTATTTTAATTCCTCATTTCACTTCTCAGTAGCTTGTGCTGAATTCTCTGTGAATATTTGAATTTTAACTTATAAATGATAAATGCACGTAGCCTGAAACAAGTAAAAATAAATCATAAAACCATCTTAAAACGTTTACTGCTCATCAAGAGCAAAAATATTCAATGTGCTGTAAAAACATTTGGGGCTTCCTGGGTTGTGAAAGAAATGGAGTTTTTCCTTTCTTCTCTTTCAATGCTCAGATTCTGTTCATGGTGTTACCCCAGATTATCATTTATTTAGGGGGAAATGTTCTCTAGATGTGTTAATATTTTATTGGCCAAGTGAGTAACTCTATGTTGATCTGATTATAGTGTGTTCCAGTACTTTGAAGGAGATTCAAATCTGTCTCTAACTTTCCCAAAGTCTCTGTCACTTGTTGCTACATCCTTTACAAATGTACTCAATGTCAAACATCTTCAATCATTAGCTCCCATCCCCCACACCTCGATTAATGGCAAATCCTGGACTATCAATAAGGACATTGGAACACACTCCAGTACTGAAAGAATTGCAGTGTCCCTCGAGAAAATGGCCCCCTCCACACAGTCATGGGTAATCTTGGATAGAGCGATTGCCATATTACTACAGTAGTGCTAAACTTAGTCTAATAAATCAGAGAGCTTGACAAGAAGCATATATATTCCTGACCAAAACCCGAACTCTCT